ACTGTCGTGTTGCTCAGAAAACAATAGAGCTTTCAGTCCATTCAGGTAACCTTAGAATCTGTGCTGATGCCTCAGAAAGGAAGAAAGGCCAGCACGGCTCCAGCTTGGGCGGCAGTCTTACTTCTCCCTTGGTCTCACCTCCTTTCCCATGTTGGTGGCTTCCTACTTCATCCCGTAGCCTCCTCTCAGAGGCTGTTTTCTCCCAGGTTGTTCCCACTCTGTGGCCCGTTTGCGTCCTCAGAGGTCTGGCCGCTGCCACTGCACCTGCCCCAGACCCGGTGTGACCTCGCCAGGGCTTCAGCCAGCCTGGCCTTCCAGCTGCCACCCAGCAGCTCAGCTCAGTGACTCAGAACCTTCTGGGCCAGACCTTCACACCCGACTCCTGCCCAGGGGCAAATGCAGAAGCCTCTGCTGGTACAGCCAACGCGGAGTAGGGGGAAGGGGGAAGGGGGACCCTTACCAGCTCAGGGCATTGGTAAGAGTGGGTGGAATTCGCATGTTAAGAACGTTCATTAACCAAGTACCCAAATGGAGACAAAAGCAAATTCGGACTAGTTACATTTCTGGAAGATTTTAGATATTTGGGTTTCCAAGATGGCTGAGAACTGATTTCTCAGCACCTCTTCTCATAGCCTTCAAGAAAAACAGTGCCTCCTGTAAGAACCTCTGAATTCTGAGTTAGGTATGTGTTAGGTGGGGTGGGAGTATTGATGGAATGTTTCCAATCGATAATCTCACAGACATTACAATGACAAGATAAAGTTTAATAGATAAAGAACTTTTTTTTTTTAAAAGATGGAGTCTTGCTCTGTCACCCAGGCTTGAGTGCAGTGGCGTGATCTCAGCTCACTGCAACCTCCACCTCCCGGGTTCAAGCGATTCTCCTGCCTCAGCCTCCTGAGTAGCTGGGATTACAGGCGCATGCCACTATGCCCAGCCAATTTTGTTTTAGAATTTATTTTTAGTAGAGATGGGGTTTCACCATGTTAGCCAAGATCGTTTCTATCTCCTGACCTTGTGGTCTGCCTGCCTGAGCCTCCCAAAGTGCTGGGATTACAGGCATGAGCCACCTCACCCGGCCTAGATGAAGAATGTTAATGCAGCTGAAACCTTTGAAGAATTCAGACCAGTCCTTGGAACATTCATCCTGAGCACCTGGAATGTTACATAATCCTGAGTGGGCTATTTCCCCTCTATGACTTCAGCTGTAAGATGACACTGTTATTTTGCACAAGTACATGAAGACTAGCTCATTAAAATACTGTACTAGTTCATTCAAGAGGTATTTACTGAGTTGCTACTATGTACAAGGCATCATGCAAACAGACTGTGCAACATTACATAAAATTTTAAAAATAGATTTCCATAAATAAACACTATGATAGGATTATGTAACATCTTTCAGGGAATTGTAACCATTTGGATACACTACACAACGGTTCTGGTTCTACCAGTCTAAATGAAGTGACCTGTTTTTTCCACCATTACTCCTGCGTTTCAATTCAATTCATTCATTCTGGTGTGCAGCCCTTTTCTATGTTTTCTATTTTTATGACCAGAGAGCCACCATGTCAGCTTGTGCTCTGCACAGGATAGATAACCCACTGAGGAATAAACGGGGACCAAAATCCACTCTGGGTTCTGCTGGCCAAGCCGGGTGACCTGGCCTGGGCTGGCGACCTCCCAGAGGAAGGGTTCATTGTTCCAGTTTACACATGTGCTATATGTGGGTTAGCTGAGGCCTGCTCATGTCTTCAGTTGGTTCACAAACCAGAAACAGAACAAATGGCCAGAGATTGGTGTTGTAATCACACTAGATTTACAACCAAGGCACGCTGAGTGGCATGATGGGTTTATCCTGCTGCATGGCAAGCTGCTCATGCGTGGGCTGTGCTCAGTGTTGTTTTTACTCAGCCATGCCGGCCATGGGGAAGCAGGAGGGGAGCTGGCTAGAGAAGGCAGCCTCAGTCAGAGGCTTGGTGCATTCCCCTGGAGCCACAGTTTGGGGCTTCTCCCTCAGCAGGGATCCCCACAGTCTGAGTGTTTTCAGAAATCTTATATCTAGGGAACCCCAAATCTTACATGCAGACCCCAGACTCTGAACTCATATTTAACTACTGAAGGGCATCACCATTTCTCCTGTGGTTGAACTTGACCTTCTTACTGAGAACCAGCCAGGCAGACATCAGAAGCCTCAGGCTCCAGAGGAGAAGCTGGTGGGCAAATAGATCAGGAGCAACTGCTTTCACCATCAGGGATGAAAGCTGAAGGCCAAGAACACTTGCTCGTCCTGTGGTGCAGGGGTTGGGATGGAGGTGTGAGTCTTATAAATGGAAGAGAACTAAGTGTTGCGATTTAAAGGAAGAACGTCTGACCCCGCCCCCGAATGCCCCCAAACCCTCCAAAATTCCAGATTCCTTTGTCTTAACTCCTCTCACGGAAGTAAGCTAAGGTAGTCAGTCTCACTGTAATTGCGGTAAATTCAATGATCCTGGTTTTCTAACTGCTAGATGATACACTGAAGCCAAAGGAGCTTTGGTGGATTGAGGGAGCCCACAGAGGCTGGGTAGGGGTGTGTTAGGAGCTGAATTGTTTCCCCCACAAAAAAATCCTATTGAAGTCGTAACCCCCCCACACGTCTCAGAATGTGGCCTTCTTTGGAAATAGGGTTGCTGCTGATGTAATTTGGGGAGGTGAGGTCTTCCTGCAGTAGGGTGGACTCCTAATCCAGTATGACTAATGGTCTCATGAAGAAAGAAAATTTGGGCACAAAGCCATGCATGCAGGGAGAACACCAAATGAAGACTAGAGTGACGCAGCCAGAAGGCAAGGAACAACCAGAAGCTAGGAGGGAGGCTGCAGCCGATTCCCCCCCAGTCCCTTTAGAGGGAGCATGGCTCTGCCACACTTCATCTCGCACATCTGGCCTCCAGAACTGTGAGACAATAAATTTTGGTTTTTCCAAGTCACCCAGTTTTTGTGGTCCTTTTTTTTTTTTTTTTTTGAGATGGAGTCTCACTCTGTTGCCCAGGCTGGAGTGCAGTGGAGTGATTTTGGCTCACTGCAACCTCCGCCTGATTCTTCTGCAGTAGCTTCCAGAGTAGCTGGGACTACAGGTGCACACCACCACGCTTGGCTGATTGTGGTATTTTTAGTAGAGATGGTGTTGTATTAGAGTGAGTAAAGAAAATTAACATTAAGATAAAAGTAGGCCAAATTGCTTATACAGCGAGTGCTCGATTTACGACCATGATTGGATCCGACAGACTGGTCGTAACACAATTTGATCGTAAGTTGAGTAGGCTTTATGTACAGTACTGTGAAATGATGTTATAAAAATCTTTAAGTCATATTTTATCATAATTTTCTTTCATTGTTATATATCATAATTTTCTTTGTTCATTTTATGCCATTTGTATCATCTCTACACCATTTTGTTTCTTATTTTTACATTCGTCAGGTTTAAGTAAAACACTGCATTATCAGTACAACTGGTTTAATATTTGCAAAACATACAAAATTACAAAATACCGGTGTAAAAAATACCATAGGAAACATTTTCCCAATTGCAAAACATATCAAAATATATAAACATGTACGAAACATTTTATTGGCCGCTGGTGCTTGGCTGCGGATCGTTGATGTCGTCATCTGAGGCAGCAGTTGGGGTTACCGGAGTTGGTTTTTTCATAAACATGGTGAGCTTTGTCTGAATGGTATGTTTCTTTTTTTCTTCATAAATTTTATGATACGGACGAAACACATCACGTGCCATCCATTCAGTCCTTGCAAATCGTTCGATGTTTGGGTCCATTGCTTCGAAATGTATAAGAAGTTTATTCAGTAAAGATAAACCGTCTGATAATCCCTTAGTGGTGAACTTTCTTTCTGGCTCCTCCTCTTCTTTCTCTGCTTCTCTTCTTTCTTCTTCCACCACTCTTTCTTCTTCCAGTTCGATTAGCTCTTCATTTGTAAGTTCATCAACATTGAAAATCTGTTCTGCTAGATATCCCTCATCTGTAACTAATTCATCCAGACTATCAACAAACGTACGTGCTCCTTCCTCATCCGCACTCGCTGCTTCTCCAGTCACTCAAACACTATGCACTTGGAATCTTTTCTTGAATCTCTGGAACCAGCCAGTGCTTGCTACAAATTCTTGACTATAATCTTCTCCAGCACGCTCCTTCAGAGTCTGAAACAGACTTCTCGCCTTCATCTGCACAGTAAAAAGACTTAATGGCGTCCATTTTTGAATTTGATCTTCCATCCAAATATATAGCAATTTCTCCATTTCGTGGATGGGCCCGCTTCATTGCTTTGTTATAACTGTTGATCGCTTGGGTGCAGAACCTTTCACAGCTTCACGAATTCTTTCTTTATCTTTCAAAATCGTCGACACAGTCGAGTGTGATAACTTCGTATCATGTGCGATCACATTCACTTTCTTTCCTCCTTCGTACTGCCTAATTACCTTCATTTTCGTGTCCAGATCGATGGCCTTTCTTTCCTTCTTGGCAGGCTGAGGCGTAGACAAAGACAATTTCCTCTTGGTACACATCTTGGGACGGGTTTGATGAAAAATATCCAAGACACAAAACACAAATTGCTGTACCGAGTCTGGGATAACAGTTGAAATGGTGCACGTGGAGATGGGAGTGCTGCCGGAAGCTGGTCCGCACTGTCATATGCCCAGCTGGGCAACGTTTGCGCTGCCAGATGCGGAGCAGTCGTGGCTAGTGATTGTGGTTGTAAAGTCGAATGGTCGTAAGTTGCATAGGTCGTAAGTTGATCAATACCTGTAGTCCAGGGCCTGTTTCCTGTAGCAGGTCCCTATTGCTGGAGAAGCAGAAACGTGCCCAAGATCCTTTCAGGATATTTGGTTTTTTTGGGCGTGACACAAATCGAGGCGAGGGAAGAGAGGAAGATCCCCTGAATCCCTGCAGGATTACTTTATTCAAAAACGAAATAAAACACAAAAGTCTTGGGAAGAAAATGACATGCTAAAGGCCGAGGAATACCGCCCTCTGGAAGATGTACCACAGGAGGCAGAAGAAAATCCTCAACCTTCTGAAGAAAGTGTAAGCCAGGAAGCAGAAGGAAACCCCAGAGGAGGGCCGACTCAGCCTGGCCAGGGATTTAAAGAGAACACACCCGTTAGGCATTTGGACCCTGAAGAAATGGTAAGAGGAGTAGATGAGCTTGAAAGGCTTAGGGAAGAGATAAGAAGAGTGAGAAACAAGTTTGTGATGATGCATTGGAAGCAAAGACATTCACACAGCCGTCCTTATCCTGTGTGCTTTAGGCCTGGAATTCATTTTTGCCTAATATTAAAATCTGGCCCCAGCTTTCTTTCTGTTAGCATTTTTTGATGTATCTTTGACCTCCATCTTACTTTTAATCATCTGATGAAACTTTGTTTTAGGTAGTTTCCTTAGTGCCAGCATCTCAATGGATTTTGGATTTTGACCCATTTTCCAGGTCTATTTTTCAATTAGAAACTTTCACATATTTGCATGGAAATATATTCATTCCAAATTGTAAAGTAAAGCATAACAGATTATGGCAAAGCAGCATATTTAATATCAGCTCACATATGTAGGATAAAATTCCAAACTTTGTGTGTGTGTGTGTGTGTGTGTATGCATACATCCATATAACATATATCAAAAACTTAACCTTAAGTTTATTTCTGTGTGGTGTGAAGCTTTATTGGTTTTCTTTTTTTTCTTTTTGCTTATATGTATTTTTTAATGAACATGTGTCTCACACAAAAAGAATTAAGGTTTTTTTTTTTTTTACAAGTAAGAGTCAATCAGATAATTTGCAACCAGCTTATGAGGGCAATGGGGGCCCCTAAATTCTTGATGATAAAAGAAATGTAAACCTCACGTTACCTCTTGATCTCTTAGCCAGAGGAATAAACTGGCAATTATTACAGGAAAAAAAAAAGTATGCCAAATTGTAGGGTTTTTATTGCTGGTGGCCATGGAGGACTTAGTTTTTTTTGGGGTAGCCCGGGGAGTTTGTTACTATATTTTATGTAGTTTGGGTTATTTTGGGGTTATGTGTCCCAGTGTCTGGCCACCCCACCCCAAATGATGGCTATTTTAGTTTATAGAGGGTATGAAGTTTTCCCGGAGTTAACTTAACTTTGTACTGGTTAGAAAACTTTGTTTTGAAATTTGTTGTTATGCACTGGAAGGGGTGCAGGGCCGGGAGTTTGATGATCCTATTTGTGCTGGTTTTTTTGGGGCCTTTCGGTGACTACCTGGGTTTTTTTGTTTTTATGATGTAGTCAATTTTGGTAAGTGCTGAATTTAAATTTTGTTTGTTTTAGTATTGGTTTCAGTAATGTTTTTGTAGCTAAGTTTTGTAAAGAGGAGACAGCTAGGTTGATGGGCCTGTTTTTGGTTTGGGCCAGGCGAGCAGGTGGAAGGGGCCAAGTGAATGTGTATGATTTTCCGCTCCTATGACACAAAGAGCGGTAGTAAGTGTTGTAAAGATTTCATGCCGCTTGGGCATGGTCCTTTTTAGATATATTTTGGCATTTAGAGGCCTAGGGAATGTGGGGAAATGGCAGAAGAGGTGAACAAAGAGGTTTACCAGGTGTGAATTTTGAATTCAGTACGTTTTTAAGAGAGTGTAGAGGTTTTGTTAATCAGTCTTTATTAAACCTTGGCAGCTGGCTTTTTAGCAGTCGGGATGGTGTTAATATGCTGACCTGTGTTGAGCACTTGGGCAACACCCATAATAACACTGAATCTTTGTTTTGACAAAAGAGACAATTACTTTTTTTTTTTTTTTTTTTTTTTTACCTTAAACGGGCCAAGAGGGCTGGTAGTTTTTTATTTAAGGTTTGATTCCTTAAGACAGAGAAAAAACTACACCCAAGTTGTCGGGGGCAGAATTTTCTCTTGGACATGAAAAAGAGGAAGAAGGAGGCCTTAATGATAGAATAAGAAGAAGAAAAGGAAAGACAACAGAGTTATTTTTAGGGGTGTAAACTTAATTAGAGTTTTTTTGAAGTTAATGGTTATGTAGCCAATGGAGAATATTATTTACTTTAAGAGTAATAGGTCTAACCCACTGTATATTAGCTAGTAACTGCTTTAGGAAACTAGACGACTTCCAGTAAACACAGTACTACATGAGAGATAGACGGACAAAGGGTGGGTGTCCCTTGAGGGAGACTAGTTTGATGCTTGTCTGGCCACACTCCCAGAGAGATGTTTTAGAGTGTTTTGGCTAAGGTGTACCCATATAAACCCTGGGCCTGGTTACCGAAAGGGTGAATCACCGTTATGTCTTATGATGTCCCCGTGGAACCACGGGTGAAGGCCCTCACAAGCCCTGTAGCCTGCTGGCTGTGGGACTACACATATACACTTTTACTTTCACACTTACACAGAGGTTATGGAACACAACCCAAAACTGAATTACCCAAGCCTCCAGTGACATCTTACAGTAGGCTTGTCTAGTGAGAGATGAACGACCACGTTTGGTCTCCTGACCTAGGCTTTTGATGGACCAGTCCCCTGATGTCCAGAACTGACTGACCTCCGGAGCTTCCCGAGACCCTGATGAATTTTGGGTGAATGTCAGCCGAATAGTTGCCCTTCCGCTACGGGCCAAAACTTTGGGGCCCTGGAACGTTTTAGGGGGTGCCTCCCCCAGAGATTCCCGAGGCTGGAGCAGCCACCCGGGTGAGACTCTGAGAGGGCTTCTGTCTGGTGATGGATGAAAAATCTCGTTTGGGTCTCCAAATGTTGTATTAGAGCAAGCAAAGAAAATTGGCATCAAAGTAAAAGTCTGCCCAATTGCAGGGTTTTTATTGCCAGTGGCCACGGAGGACTTATGTCTCTCCAACCCGTGGCCCCACACTTAGTGAAAGCAAGGTATTTAAGCTGCAAAACTACATCCTTGTGGGGGCTATGCAAGCAAGCAGATTGTACAGAAGCCAAGGTCAGCGGTTGGTTGCAAGGGGCAATAGTGGAAACTTTTTTAACTTTACAAAATAACATTTTTGAGAATTACAATAACAGTTCTGAGAACTACATGTTTTAGGGTTTTTATTCTAAGATGACAGTGCCTAAATCACTATAAGATGGCGGTACTTAGGCCCTGTCTTAACGCCTATCTCAGTGGGACTTCACCATATTGGCCAGGCTGGTCTTGAACTCCTGACTTTGTGATCCACCCACCTCGGCCTCCCAAAGTCCTGGGATTACAGGAATGAGCCACCATGCCCGGCCTTTGTGTTACTTTTAAATGACTGCCCTTGGAAACCAGTACAAAGTGGGATAGGGAAATGATAGAGAGCATGACATTGTGACATGTTGCATCTTTCCCAAAACAGCCACAATGATATCTCCCTTCTACATGCTCTTTTTGAGATGGAGTCTCACTCTGTTGCCAGGCTGGAGTGCAGTGGAGCCATCTTGGCTCCCTGCAACCTACAATCTCCACCTCCTGGGTTCAAGCAATTCTCCTTCCTCAGCCTCCTGAGTGGCTGGGACTACTGGTACCCGGTGCCACGCCTGGCTAATTTTTTGTATTATTAGGAGAGACAGGGTTTCACCCAGTTCAACTCACTGGTGTCAAACTCCTGAGCTCAGGCAAACCACCTGCCTCGGCCTCCCAAAGTGCTGGGATTACAGCCATGAGCCGCTGTGCCCGGCCCTATGTGCTCTTCTTACAATGTAACTCTGACAATCTTCCTATCTAGTGTTGGGATCTATAGATCCTCTTTTTGAACCTGAGCAGGATTTTACGACTTCCTTGTCCAATGAGATTATCATAAAAATGATACCTTGTGACTTCCTAGGTTACATTATATAAATGCTACACACTTTGGCTGTGGTCTCTTGGGATCCTCACTCTGAGGGAAGCTAGCTGCCATGTAAGCAGTGACTGCCCTGAGGCCACCACGTTGTGAGGAAGCCCAGCTAACCCATACAGAGAGATCACATGGAGAGTTTCTGAGGCTACATGGAGGGGATGTCGGAGATGCCTGGCCACCACCCCTGGCTGCCCCATTTCTGTTGCAGCCACTACTTGCCTCCAACTCCACGAGAAGCCAGAACTGCCTTCCCAAGCCCGACCCAAATCCCTGACCCATAGAAACTGTGAAAGAAAAGAAAATGGATATTGTTTTAAATCAATAGGTTTGGGGTTTTGTTACACAGTCTGTGGGGTTTGGGGCAACCAAACCCATACCACTCGTGTATGTTGTGAGTGTGGTCAGGAGCTTCAAGCACTGGACTTGAGTCTATGGGAGACAGAGGATAACATGGCTCTCAGGGGAAGGAGAACTGGAAAAGAAGAATCTGCAGTCATCGATCTGGTGTTGGAAAGTAGACGGCTCCATTTTGCTCTGAAAGGAAAGAGGTTTTGAGTCAGATTACAAGAATGTTTCCTCACAGCTCAAAAATAAAGTATGCAGTGTTCAGCAAGATCTGAGAAACAGGCACTGACAGTTTTAGCCTGCTTTGTCAAGATTCTCTTAGTACTTGACAAACTTTAGCTCAAATTTGTAAACTCTGTAAGATAAAAAGCAGGAATTCACAAGCTCACAGTCTGTCTAATTCTTGAAAGAGGGATGGCATTTTAAAAAAAATTGTTTCACTAGCTATCATTTATTGAATTAGGATTCGTGCTGTGCTTTATAAAGAAAACATTAACGACCTGTTAACCCCTGAGTTGATTTTCCAATAAAGTGGTTGGTTTTACTTTAATCTAATGACACACTTTTGTACAGTTATCAACTGAATTGGGGTTGAGGTCTATGTTTTATGAAACATGTTTTAGGAAAACCAAGCTTCTGGTCCACTTTGGGTTTAAAGCATGATTCAGGTCTCCTCAGTACTATCCTCTGATCAATCTGAGTAACTAGTGAAGCCAGAGGCAAGGCTCTATTGTAAGCTCTATGACAACAGGCATCATGCCTGTCTTCTTCATTGTTATATCCCAGCAACCAGTGCAGTGCCTGGAGCACAGCAGCTTCTTCATGTATACGCAGTGAATGAATTTATGTTATTCCACGTTATCAAGAGCCTACACATCTCCTACTTCTCCTCCCCTTTTCCTTACTCTAAGTCCCATTCTCTGAAGGTCTCTACTCTTACCCATTTCGTGTTTTGAAAAATGAATTTAGAAGCAAAAGAACGTTCATTTGCTTGGGGAAAGAATGGTGGTCAAAATGGAAAATGATGGAAGTCTTGAAACGAAGGACATTGTCTCAGAGTCAACAGTAATTAATAATACAAAGATGGTTTGGAAAAAGACAAATCAAGATCCCCATATCTTCTCTGACCCAACTTCTAGGGGGACAGTTTCCCTGGACAGATGTTGTACTATTTTGTTGATGTCACGCATCACCTATGAAAAGAGACCGCTCCCCCACAAGCACCATCCATGCTACGTGTCCTCTACGTGG